TGTGTAGAGTAGTTGAGGAATGTTTAAACTAGGGACTGGGGGGGCAGGGAGGGTAGTTATGAATGTAGGTAGGGGGAGACAGAAAGCCCCAATAAATATTAAGTGGGCACTGTAAAAGGCCTACCATTTGCGGTCTGTACTTAAACACTAGGAGTATTACAAACAAAATTCATAAAACTAGATGCTAAAGATTCAAATGGCCTAATTGTCGGGGTTTGTTATAGAGCACCTAATGTAGCTGCAGAGGAAAGCAGAATGTTATATGATGATATCAGGAGTAATAAAAATGATGTGGTGGTTATGGGTAATTTAAATTTACCTGGGATACAGTGGGACACAGTCTCTGGCTCTTCTGTAAATGAACTTGAGATGGTGGAATTAGTACAGGATTGTTTTTTTACTCAGTTTCTTTATAACCCTACCAGGGGAGAAGCCCTTCTTGATCTTGTTTTCCCTAACAACCAGGATAGGATTGGAAAATTAGAGGTTTTAGAACCACTGCACAGTAGTGATCATAACATGGTTAAATTTGAGGTTAATTTTAGTGTCTGGATATAATATGGATGGTTACACCTTGTTCCGTTGAGAGCGGATAGGCAAGAAGGGAGGTGGTGTGGCTAGTTGTGAGGAAGGACCTAGAAAAAAGTGGTGTATCTCTAAGAATTAACATCAGAGGTGTTCAGAGGTATTTTCTATGACTCCTTATGGGCAATGAAGAAACAGGACAAGAAAAACTATAGGTAAGATGCCATCAGGACCCTGCGACTTATTTTGAGCTTAGCTAGGCTTAGTACCACATCAGCCTCAGTTATACACATATTGGTCATAGACGACGCTGTATTCGCACTAGATGGTGGCAGGTCACTTGTGTTCTCTACTGTGAACACCCGTGTAATAAACAGCAAAACTGTTGAAGAGGCATGGAAATTTTTTAAAAGCACATTGTTGCAAGTGCAAGAGGACTTCGTACCTGTTTCCAGCAAAACTAAATCTAGGAAACTGCAGCCAAGGTGGTTTACTAAGGAAATTAAGAATAAAGTCAGGAGGAAAAGGGCTCTCTTCTACAAATGGAAAATAACTAATGATTTCAGAATAAAGCAGGAGTATCTAAGTATCTAAGTTTTAGTTAAAAAATAACATTAGATTCACTAAGAATGTAATGATTATTTTACACGTGTAAGAGGACACAAGTAACTTACCTCCATTTAGTATGAATACAGCGCCGTCTATGACCAATATGTATATAACTGAGGCTGATGTGGTACTAAGCCTAGCTAAGCTCAAAATAAGTCACAGGGCCCTGATGGCATCTTACCTATAGTTTTAAAAGAGTTGAGGGATACCACTGTACATTTATAATGTTTCTGCAAGTCTTCCAGACTGCATTTTGCCATGTGTATACTTTGATGTAGAATTACAAACTCCACATAAATCTTACATATTTACAAAGTACACTAAGATTAAGATAAGTTTTATGCCAAAACAAATATATAATAAATACTTTGCTATGAATTAAATTTATGATATTGAATGAAATGTGTGACCATGCCCCAGTCAGTGAAAGTGTATTCCCTACCCCAGAGGGTTAAGCTCAAAGCTGCAGGGGCTGTAGGAATTGTAGTAGCTTGGATCGAAAACTGGTTAACTGACTGAAAGCAGCGAGTAGTTATTAGAGGCACAATGTCACAGTGGGCCTGTGTTAATAGGGCTGTACTGCAGGGTTCAATTTTAGGACCACTACTGTTCCTAATTTACATTAATGATATTGACACCAATACATGCAGTAAACTGGTTACATTTGCAGACGACATCATGGTGGGTGGTGTAGCAGATACTAAACTAGCAGCACAGAGGCTACAACAAGATCTTGATTTAATTAGCGACTGGGCTGATACTTGGCAGATGAAATTTAACACAGACAAATGTAAGGTAAT